TTTCTTGGATGCGGTTTCTGAACTTAAAGCGGCATTCCTAGCAACATTGAAGAACATGACAACCGCTGACATACCTGCACCAACTTTAATCTCCTGACGCCAACTGGCCGTGATGCTACTCCTGAAGAAGCCCCAAGAAATGCAACTCCACCTAAAACAACACCACCTCCGCCCGAACCCACATCTGAACCCCGAGCAGCAACTCTATCAGCATCACCCACCACACCACCACCACAAACAACGGAAGGAAATACAGCAGCAGCAGCAGTTACCCCAATTGCAACACTCTTGGAGCAGCTCGTTGATGACATGACTGATGGTTCACCCCAATCACTACCAGCAACTGAACAGAAAACTCCAGAACAAATTGAGTTTGATAGGTAAAACTCACTTATCACTTAACAGTATCCTTATGTGTGTTTATCCTTGTTAATTATTTAATCATGCTGTTATGCCTACTGTTTAACATGTTAAAACATGTTTCTAATTACTTTTCTGTCTCTACAAAGCATCATGGCTGAATCTGAAGATGATGTTGAAGATGTCAATGTCCGGAAAAGGCCACATCGAAAGTTCAAGAACCTCCCTCTGGCTTGTCGATCCCCGTACTGGACAAGCAACATTTCAAAACTCAAGAATGTTTCCGCCAGGGAAAAACTGATCTCGGACTATGCGTTCCTGCCAGCAGATGAAACTGACTACCCTTCTTAGTATGTATTTCATTTATAACTTGTTATAACAGATGTTTTCAGTTGATATACCACATTATGTGTATTCCTGATATATGTTATGTGTATTCTTTCATAATATTATGTACATTGGTGTTCTCAGTTGATATACCACATTATGTGTATTCCTGATATATGTTATGTGTATTCATGATATATGTTATGTGTATTCATTCATAATATTATGTACATTGGTGTTCATGATAATCATTATTCTTGTATTTCAAAATTATGTGTATCCTGGTTATATGTTATGTGTATTACTTCATGACATTATGTACATTATACATTTACATTATGGGAAACAGTAGATTACTTTAAATTGTGAAGTGTTTATTTTGTAATATCAACTTCTTTTGTTTATTTCCAGTGAAATGTTGTTTTCTGCCCATGATCTGTTTGCAACGAGGGAGGACATTGCAACATTGGCAAGTGGGCAACTAGCTACAAATATCCTGCAAATCTGGGCACACAGATTGACAGTGCTTGATATGAAAAGAGCAATTGATCAACCAAAAAGGATCTCCTTCTCGGAAGCTGCTTACGTAAGTACACATCTAGAACTAAGCATTTATTAAAACAATGTACTATATGACACACAACCTCTTCTTTACAGATGACGCTTGAAAATGTTGAAATAAAAGCTAGGAATATGGATATTAGTGACTTATGTACAAATATTGACTACCAATTGAGGAGGACTGCAATTGATATAACAGATGCAAGTCTTGTAAGTAAAACAATATATATATATATATATATATATATGAATTATAAGATTATTGAATTTATGTCTGTATTTGACTCAGTTTGTTAAATACCTTTTGATTATTCATTTCAGGTTTTCTTTACAATCTTGAGGCACAATCACTACTACTTAATGTGCTTTAACATCCCCAAGTCAAGACTTCAGATCATTGATAACAAGCTAATGCCCAAGGGAATACCAAGTACGAACAGATATGAGAATTGCCCGGCTAAGTTGGTAAGATAAACTAATACTCCTATTTAATATCTATACCCTATAGTTTAATATTTACATTACTTAAATTAATTAAACACTACAATTACTATAATGTGCAGAAAACAGCTTTCTACAAATACCTCCAATCGAAGAAAAACTCCCTTGCAAGGAAAGTGAAGAATATCGAAGTTGAGTGCATTCACATGCCATGGCAGGATGAAGAGAACACAACAGATTGTGGTGTGTATTGCATGCGCCACATGGAAACTTACAAAGGGACTGAGGTAGACAAGTGGGAAACTGGTTTCATAGGGGGTGATAGTGATGTAAGTAATAATCAACTTTGTTCTACATTACACATGTTATCTCTTGTTTCTTCTAATTTTAACATCTATCTTTTGTTTATTATAGGCTGCTTTCATTACATCGCTTAGAGCAAAATATGCAGCAAACATCCTCATGTGGAAGAACAACGAATACATGGAAACAGTCATGCACTCAGCAAGAGACAACTACAAGAAATCGAAGTGAAACTACTAACAAGAATCTGTAAAAAGCAATTCTGCTAATCCAAGCTCAGACTTACTTATATTTTTGGTTCAATTTTTGGAAGTTTCAGTTGATAAACAATTATCAGAAATTTGTATATGCTCCTTTTGGTAATACAATCTAATGTTTACTTGTATTCTATATTTTTCATATACCCTGATATAGTTTTGTGCATAATCAATGCATATACTACACAAACTATGAACTATCAAAAAATGTACATAATCATATGAAGTAATACACATAACCCATATAATGAATACACATAAACTTTCAAAACAGTGCACATACTACTAAAAAAAGTCTAACAAATATTTTGTTTCGGCTAATTGACGAGCTGTCGTAGGCCCCCAAATTAAAACCTTACAAACGTAGTAGCGGGAGTAAGGATCGATCCCACGAGGAGTAACTAGTTTAACTTTTGTGCTCAAATTAAAGGTAGGGGGTTTGGAATATATCGAGAATAAAGATAAAATAAAAGAGAATTTAAATAAACAAGAAATTTAATTGAACGAATAAAGCAATGAAAATAATATATCGAAAACACTTATAATAAGAAACCTTGGTTAGTAAAGATCCACCACCGGAATTCAACACTGATCATTGATTAATAAAGTAATTAATATGCAATTGAATATTTGTCGTGAAATTATTTCATTTCTGTTTTCCCTTAGTTGTAGGTAAATAAAGCACAAGCGATTTAATTACCCCTAACTACTAAATAACCTAAGACAAGCGCTATAGATTTAATTTAATAGCAGCAATAGGAACTAGGAAAATCGACAAACTAAATAACACAAACACAATCGGTTGCATTTAATTTAGGAAAAATATTCTACCCGAGACCAATTATCACTAAGCCGTCAATAATTAACCTCAGTTGCTACTGAATATTAGAATAATTTGTAGCACAACATTATCTAATATAGCAAATAATTATATCAAGTAAATAACTAGTAGGCCTCCCCAGCAATTAAATGATACAACTATTCAAATAACTTAGAAGAATATTTAATACCCAAATGCATAAAAATTATATAATAAAAATAAATAAATAACCTTACAGCGTTATGAACTCCGGGACTTCAATTCACTAAACCAACTAGAAATTAACCACAAATGGACATTGATAATAATCTCAACGAATACTATAGAGGAGGAAAGAATGAACATTTTTTCAATACTACTCTATCATCTATTTATAGTATCCTCAAAATAGGATTAATCTTTTTTCTACCATTGAATTTCTATTTTTGCGCTGATGAAGTTCCGTTGCGGTCGTTCTTGCCGCAAGAATTGGTCCACTGCACGAAGGCTTTCCGTTGCGCTCGTTCTCTATGTTGTTTTGAGAATTTATTTTTCTCGCTAATGTTGCTGCACCAAGTGTGCTGCAAGGAAGAGAAACAAAACAAATATAAAGTAAAGTTTTAATATATTACCTGCATGCATGCTTAAGTAGATTTAAGTTGGAAATTTATTTAAATAATATATAAATATATCATGCATATATATGTATATACTAGTACGTAACATGAACTAATTATAAATTATATATATAAATATATTATATATTATATATAAAAAGAACTAATTATTAGATAATATTAAATAATTAATGCAAAATTATTATGAAGATGTACCTAAAATATGAGTATAAAATATGTCTATCACTAATATATACAATCAAACATCCTACTGAATATAATCCATGTACATAATACACATAGGACCAAGCATATCATTTCCCTATACTGATAACTGCAAATCTAAAAAAGAAATGTACATAAATATATAAAAGTAATTAACAGAGATAAAAATGTACATAATCATATGAAGTAATACACATAAAGTATATAATGAATACACATAAAGTATATAATGAATACACATAAACTTTTAAAACAGCACATATCATAATAAATGTCTATTTTATTACTGCTGAGTTATATGATTTAACATCGTTCTGTACGTGATACATATAACTACGATGATTAACACTAACATATGCTTTAATTATCCTCCATGCTTGACATTGTGCTAACGTGACAAAAACTAGAACCTCCGGAACTTGGGTGGACAAGATATCCATCACTTGCAATATTTAAAATATCATCCTCAACTTGAGACTGAACAACAGATTTTATTTTGGAAGCAACCATATTTGCAAGATGCTTCCGTCCCCTTGTTTTGTTATATTTCTTTGAAATAACGCTGCTCACCCTCCTATTCCGCAACCCTTTCGTCCGCCTAGTAGATGGATCCTTTATAACACCACTTGGCGATCCTATGTCACAATCTTCAAATAAACTGCCACCACATTCAGCTTCAAGTCTTCTCTTTGCATCAGCAATTGCTTATTCACAAATCTTCCGTCCTTCGATATTTTCCTGACTGTAAACAGCAAGCCTATGAAATTTCCTAATGATTTCTAATAACTAAACAGAAGATGCACCATTACCACTGTCAACTCTAGACATTATATCAAAATTATCAACTTCAACAACTTTTTTAGTCCACCTCTTCAAAATATACTTCTCGGGGACTTCAGAAACACAATGCACATTTATAATGCGTAAACAATGACAACACAAAATTCCCAATTCAGTAAACAACTTGCAACTACATCCAATGTCCATTTGTCTACTATTAAAGATCACTTCATGCCTAATAATATCAACATCAGGCCTCCAAACATGATACTTATACACACCATCTTCCAACATCACACACTCTTGATAGCATGATCCACCTTTCAAAAATTATTCTTCAAACAAATAGTATATCTCAATTGTATAAATTTTCCTAGCATGCAACAGAATCTTAACATTATCCATCACCATTGTGGGTACACCTTGTGAACACCGAACATCTTCCCCATTCTCTCTACTTCTCCACTCTGATATGACCCCAACAAATGAGTTATAAAAATCACACAAACCAGATGTCTTGGACAACCTTCTAGAAATAGAGTGATTTGTGGTCTCACTCCTTTGAGAAGATAAAATCCCACCCGAAAAATAATCTTTATTAAATGCAGGAAACCATTTTTCTCTACACCCATACAACTTTTCAATCCAATGATTATTGTGACATTTATATGTTGTAACCATCCTGAAATAACATGCCATAGATATATTAAAGTAAACCTACAAGCATGTCAGGATATCACATACAGAACAGACTAATGTACATAATCTTATACATGAATACACATAAACTATCAAATAGATACACATAAACTTGATCCAAAAAATTAATTCTGTATTCTGTATAATATAATCTACAAATATTCATTCAATGATAATCCAATATAAACTAATAATAAAAACAAAAACAAAAAAAAAAATAACGAAGCATACATCAGACACGTACCTTGTCCAGTAAAATTCAAACTCTGCCTCTGTATCCGTATACTTCAACAAGCAATTGAATATATCTAGGAAATCTTTTTGATTTCTTAATCCTTTAATGTGCTTTTTTGAGTTCTCGCCAATATGCCATATACATAGCCGATGTCGTGAACTTGGAAAAACTTGAACAATTGCAGCAGCCATAGCAGCACATTGATCAGTCATTATGCTTTGTGGACTTTTGTAATCCATAGATCTCAAAAATGTCTTAAACAACTATACAAATGACTCAATCTTCTCATTCATCAAAAAACCGCATCCAAACATAACATTCATGCAATGGTGATTCATGCCAACAAAAGGTCCACAAATCATGTCATATTTGTTAGTACGATATGTTGTATCGTGAACTAACAAGTCCCCAAACAAATCATAATCTCTCCTCATTCGTCCATCCCTCCAAAAAAAACTACACAACCTTGACTCCAAATCCACCTCAAAATCAAAGTAAAAATCCCTTTCACTTGACTGCCTCCGTTTGAATATTTCAATCAATGTGTTTGAATCGGTACCATGCAATCTATTCAATGCATCGGTACATAGAGAGTTATATGCATCCCTACTTGTAAAACCAACAAGTGGTGATCCCCCTGATTGTGTTTTAAGGAATCTTACACCATCTGCAACAGACACACCACTGCTCTTCAAATCAGTAAGATAGGATATATGATTCCTAGACACCATCTTATGTGACCTTAGAAGGTAACTCTTGCTTGGTGGAACCAATTCATGATTATGCAACTTCTCATGCTTCGAAACAATCCACATCCCATTCTCATGTAAATCGAATTGGACATATGCACCACAACCTGTACGACCATCAATTTTAGAATAACACCCTTTTCCTGTACTCCTTTTAAATCCATCCTTCGAACAATGGAACATCTTCGTCTTCATTGTTTTTGTAGCAGAAGAATATCTTTGCTTACCCCTCCTCACACTAAAACCTACTCTAAAATCATAATCATTATACATGTCATATGATTCATCAACCGAACACACTGACATCCCTACCAAATCCTGATCAGCTGCAAATCACATACAGTTTAACTACCCATACTGAAAATGTACATAATCCATAACTACAATACACATAAATATATAGCACAATACACATAATCATTAAAATACATAAAACATATATCCCATACTGTTAATGTACATAATCCATAACTACAATACACATACACATATGGCACAATACACATAATCATAAAAACGAACAAATCAAACCATATAATACACGTAAAACCTCCCTGAATCAACATCTTCAAATCAAATCATTCTAACATCCAAAACAACCACAATCAAACAACAATTCTATATCAATTCTTATATAATTCAACGGCGAGTACAATATATACATCAAACAAAAATACAAAATAAAATCTTAAAAATCAAATATTAATACCTGGATTAGCATCCTCTGTATCTACCACTCCAACAGGATCAGTTGTATGCTCTGTCTCCGCCACATCCTGCTGCGCAATCGAATCATACATGACTTACATCCAACAATTGCAGAATACGGCGCAAATCGAACAATCAGATCACTCTCGTGTTCTCTAATCCAAGATGCATGATCGGCACGACGACACCATCTCTTTAGAGCCCCTCTCTCACTTCCCTCTTCTTACCAATTAACGGCGTTAACAGAATAATAAAAAAAAGTCTGTTACGTAACAATTCCATATGGCGTCATTTTGATGCTGGGCGCACATAGAGCTATATGCCGGGGTGTATGGTATAAATTGCCTATTTTTACCTAATTTCCGTTTCATTTTTAAATGATGTATAATATTTTTATTGAAATATTTCCATTATATTTTTAATTTACCTTTATATTATTTAAACTTTAAAATATGCATTTCCTATTGATGATGTAGAATAATATTGAAATATTTTCGTCTAATTTTTAATTTTTGTTCTTTTTTTTTTTATAATTAAAATGCAATGATCATGACAATTTCTTTTTTTCATTCTAGTCAATTAGAAATATTATTGTTACCAATTAAGCTTTATTAATTTTTTACTATTTAATTAATATTCATATTAATTTAGGTGGGAATGTTGAAAATGAGAATTTTACTTTTATTAATAGTATAGATAGATTAATTTCATTTTGAAATCATTGGTTCACATATTTGAATTATTTATTTTTTTCATTAATTATTTGCATGGTAAACATAAATGATATTGCAATAATTAATTTATGATATTTATCAAAGTGTATCTTTTTTAAAATATAAAACTTTCACATGTTTATGGGTTGAAATTTTTTTTAATTATTTTTGTTTTAAAATATTTTCCAGCAACCAAAACACTCCATTAATCTCCCATCAAAAACTGATAAAGAAAAATTATTTTATTAAGAAAATTAAAGCTAATTAAATTAAATATAATCATGATATATTTATTTGTAACTGTATATTAATTTTATTTTGAAATTATTGGTTCACATATTTGAATTATTTATTTTTTCTTTAATTATTCTCATTGTAAATATAAATGATATTGCAATAATTAATTTATGATATTGATCAAATTGTATCTTTTTTTTTTAAATATAAAATTTTCTCATGTTTAGGGGTTAAATAATATTTTAAAATTATTTTGAATACATATTATACATTAAGTATGTGTGTGTATATATATATATATATATATATATATATATATATATATATACACACACACACACACACACACACACACACACACACACACACATTTTTAATTCTATATTGATAAGCATAGTCTGTGTATATACTTTAAGAAAATATTCATTATTGAAAATGAGATATAATTTAAAAAGTAAATTATTAATTAGATTACCTAATATAATTGTCTAACTAATTGATTCAATGCTACTATGTATAATTCATATACTTGAAGCTTGTTAAAGCAAAATACCTATTAATTGTCTTAATAATAATTAAGATAATTTTTAGTCAATCAATATTCAATAGTACTAAAAGTATTACTTTGAATTTTTATAAATAAGATATGATATTATTAAACCAAAATAGTTAAAAATATGTGTCCATAGTACAAAAGATTTTATAATAGTAATTTTTATTGCCTAATAGAATTTGTCAACTATTAAACATTATTTATGGAAGATTTTACTTTTATTAATAGTATAGATATAGAGTGGTGTAAATAATAATTAATAAATTATTATTTCCTTATAAAATTAAACCGAAATTATAGTATAGATATAGATTGATGTAAATTATTATTTCCTTATAATATCACTGGCTTGAATTACACATTATTGAAAATCTCTTTTTAGATGACATTGGTAGTAGTAACAGAATTTTGTCCATTCTCGTGTAGAGTTAAAACCTTCAGGCCATCAGGATGGGTGACTCGGGAAAAAGTCACGTACAATTGATCGTGATTAAAGACTGGTTTTTTAAGTAATAACCCAATGTGAGTTAGTGTTTGACCCTGACTTTTGTTGACAGTCATGGTATATGCGAGCATCAACAGGAATTGTTTATGCTAGAACTTGAAGGGCAATCTCGTATCAAAAGGGGTAAGAGACATTTTAATGGAAGATTTTACTTTTATTAATAGTATACATATAGATTGGTGTAAATTATTATTTACTTTTATTATATTAATATTAAATTAATAGTATAGATGGATTAATTTCATTTTGAAATCATTGCTTCACATATTTGAATTATTTATTTTTTCTTTAATTATTATAAACAGAAATGATATTGTACTAATTAATTTATGATATTTATCAATTTGTATTTTTTTAAAAAAATATAAGATTTACACATGTTATTAAGGGTTAAAAATATTTTAAAATTATTTATTATTAGTAAGTATTTTTATTTTTAAAATATTTTTCGGCAACATAAACACTCCTTTAGTCCCCCATACAAAACTGATAAAGAAAAGTCATTTCATTAAAAAAAATTAAAACTAATTAAAGTAAATCTAATCATGCTATATTTATTTGTGATTGTATATTAATTTCATTTTGAAATCATTGGTTCACATATTTGGATTATTTATTTTTTTTCTTTAATTATTATAAACAGAAATGACTTTGTACCAATTTATGACATTTATCCAATTGTATTTTTTAAAAATATAGTGTTTTACTCGTTCGTTGCATGAAAAATTTTTGTTATTAAGAATTTAAAATTGAAAATAGACAAAAATGAAAAGACGTTAAACTGTACAATATAATAATATAGTTAGACACTTTTACATATTTGGTCAAGTATCTATTTTCATAACATACAAAATTTAAATTTTGTATGGTTAATAGAATCTCTAATCAATACATATTTAGATAAATTTATAGAAAAAATTCACATAATTAAGTTGATTTATTCCCGGGTTGGACTTCCATTTGGAAGGTTGTGAATTCGAGCCTCAGTGGAGGCGTTATTGGCTCTTTGTGTTTCAGTAGGTTGAGAAAGTATATGAACAGATACTACAATGTAATAGAGTCAGTAACATTCAAAAAAAAAACTAACAAAATTATATATACTTAGAAATTAATAAAAAAATTTAAATTTTAAATTTTGTATGAGTAAACTTAAACTCTAATCAGATGCATTTCCTTATATGATTGTATAATAGATTGTATATACATATAATATTTATTAATATGTATATAATGTATAAAAGATTTTGTATAATATATAATGTAGATAAATTTTGTACTATTGATTTTGTATAAATAAGATATAATATTATTAAACCGAAATAATTAAAAATAATGTATCCATAGTACAAAAGATTTTATAATGCTAATTTTTATTATCTAATAGAATTTGTCAATTATTAAAATTATTTATGGTGATTATGCTAAATTTACAACATCAAATAATATCTCAAAATCAACTTAGTAATTAAAACTGAAATTAGTATACAACAATATTTTCCTCAAAATAACAAATAATTAAACTTTATTCCTTCTCAACTTGTTCATCCCGAATTCGTATCCATGTTCACCTGCATAAATAATTTTACACAAAAACAGAATGTAGACAAAAATTAGCATAAGCTAAGTAAGTTTCACTTCACCCCGTAAAATAATGGTTTGAATTTTTTATATTTTCAAAACTCATATAATTTCATCCTTTTCTAAAATACATGTGGAGTTATACATTTTCTTGTATGGAGAATAAATAGTTATTTATGGAGAAGTAACCAATTTTGTTGAAATCCACTTTAAAACTGGACTAAAACCTATGTGCACACCCAGAAGATTTCAAGCCACTGGGTAATATATGATCCAAGTAGTTAAGTTTTCCTACCTACTACCACTCAAACAATTTGAAAACTGAATCATAACTTATGTGATACACTCTCATGTGATTCCAAGCCCAATCTATCATTATAATAAAGCACTAAGTTTCTGCCTATGCCAAAATCCCGCCCAATGAAAACGACGCCGTTTGATGGCCTGAGAAAAAGTTGTTATTAATCGCGTGCAATTAAATACAGCCGGCTACTTTTTTGCAATACCAACAAAAAAAAATATTAAATAGAATTCTAATTATTACAGACTTCTAACGAGAGTGTTAATTATAATGATAGATGCTTTGAAAATCGATTTCTCCATAAACATTTAAATGTAGCCGCAACATGCTCTTGAAAACTGAAAGGTTGACAGTCCCCTTTAGTCTTCCCAGATTTTGAAATCCATTGATTTATACTCTCTATATAAGCCTGTGTCGATGGAGAATTTCCCTCCAAACTTCAGAATATATTCAGTTCGTATCACCTGCATTTTACAAAAAATACTCCCAAACTTTCAGCAACTAAACAATGCCAATGTATGTTCCAGTAAAAGGCATTGGCCCGCTTGATAGGGAGAAAGCAATAAGAGTGAAGTGTGTTAGATGCTACGAAATAGCCGAGAACAGAGGGTCCACCGAGATCAAGAGTTGAGAAGTTTTGGTCTGTGATAAAGAGGTATTTTCGTGTCATTCTTATGATTTTATTTAACTGTTTAAGCTTTTGGCTTTATAATCATTCCAATGCAATACACATGTCTTATTTATTTCACTAAACCTACTTGCAGGGTACTTTCATACATTTGAATATGCAAAACAGTGATGTCCAGAAATATAAGAATGTGTTCATAGAAGGGAAGCTCTATTCTGTAAAAAAATTTTTGGTTTTCACCCACTATTATACTTTCAAAACTTGTGATCACGAATATATGATTAGGTTAAACTATAAGACTCAAGTAAAGGCCATCAAATCGAAATGTTTTCCTAATAAGATGTTTCAGCTCAAAAACTATGACTCTTTGAAAGACCCTACTCAAGTGAATGACAAGGTGTTGTTTGGCAAGTATATAGTTCATGCTTTTGCTATTTTTAAGTTTTCTATTTATGTATTTTGTCTACTATTCATTTTTTTTTTATTTTACAGATTTAATAGGCAGGGTTGTCGAGATCCATGCTCCTGTGGACAAAATAATAGGAGGCAGACCAGCAAAACTTCTTGATTTCAAAATGGCGGATAATCAGTAAGTTTTCTACTAACAACTATGTGCCTATATTTTTAATCATTAAATTATTTCTAACATAATTGCCTATAGGGGAAATACATTACCGTGCACTGTTTGGGACAATCATGTTGCTTCTATGGTACCATATTATGATTCTGGTATTCAAGAACCCCTAATTTTGGTTCTTCAACTTTGTCGGGCAAAAGTGGTGAATGGTAAGTTATGCCATTGCATTATTCTTTTGATTTTTATCTAGGTTTTCCAACAATCATTAACATGTATGATTCTAATAGGTGAAATCAGAATTACTAGCTGCTATGATGCTACCCAACTTCATTTGAATGGACCTTATCAGGAATTTGCTGATTTTAAATCTCAGTAAGTGCCTTAAATAACATGTGCTTTATAATGTGTTATACTGTTTACTGTCTATATTTTAAATACCATGTCAGTGCCTTTTTTGATTTTAAACTTTATCTACTGACTACATTTAAAATAGCATTGCATTTATAATGTTATCTACTCTATACATTTTAAATAGCATGGATTTTAGTATGTTATCTACTGTCTACTGTATACATTTTAAATAGCATGCATTTTAAATTTCATTAAGTGCCTTTTCAGTTTTTAGATGTTATCTATTGTCTACATTTTACAACTCAACACATAACAATGCATGAGACAACAATGAATCTACTGTATCTATTATTTATAACACTTATTCATAACATGCAATGGATTCATATAATTTACTGTTTTTGTTACCTGTAGGTTAAGTGCATCACACAACCCTTTACGCAGTATCAGCACTGCAACTGTGCTTTCTCAATCCCAAGGAATTGATGACTTCACCAGTGGTGCTTTGACTGTAACTCCAGTTGCTGATCTGTTGAAAAAGAAACAGGTTATACTCTGAAATTTTTGATATCATTAATACAGTCAAGTAAGATCAGTAATTATTTGTCATTATAATACATACTAACCAAGTTACATTTCCTATGGCAGAATGGGGAATTCTATGTTCCTGCTGAAATAGTGGGAATTGAAGGGTCATTTGGATGGATGTACATCTCATGCATGTCACCAGGATGTAACAGGAAACTGTCTGGCCAAGTAGGTGATTTCAGTTGTACACACTGTAATAAGAAGTATCAAGAAGGCATGGCAAGGTATAGAGTGAAAGTGATTGTTCTTGATAAAGGTCAAAAAGATGCTCCCTTCCTTTTGTGGGATAGGGAGTGTTCTGAATTAGTTGGTATCCCAGCACACAGTTTGTACCTCAAGTATAATAAGGTAAAGTTTCATAAAACACTATAATTTAATACCTTAATAGCAGCTGTGTTAATCTATTTGACCTCTAAGTATGCTATTTTGTTTATTTTAGGTTTCAGACATTCCAGCAGAATTGGAATCCTTAGTTGGTATGCGAATGATATTTAAGATATCATTAAAGATGGAGTTCATGAAGGGAGCTAATTCAGCCTACAATGTGATGAGAGTACTAAGGGATGAAGTGTTAGTCTCTGCCTATTGTTCTAACCTTATTGAAGACCAAGAGAAGGACTTGATGACAAAAATGATAGATGAGGACGAGGAAGAAGATGAGGAATCTGATCAGGTTCTTATTTTTAATAAAGTATACACTATACTTACATTTTAAAGTCTTCTTATGATATGTGTTTGACTAAATAAACTTTTCATGTATATAGGAGGCTTCAAATGGAGAGAATGAGGTCAACAGCCCCTTGAGTATACAGCACTCTCAAAGTGTAGACCTTGAGACTGATGATTCTAATGGTGTGAAGAGATCGCTTCTGGATCAATTTTCCTCCTCAAGGAAGAAGGGGAAAAATGTTGTTGTTAAAAAGGAAAAAGTTTAAGATCTTGGATACTACAGACTGTTACCACATGTTTTGTGGTTTTACTGTTTTGAAACTAATGTTTTGGCCTGCACACTATCTATTTTCATTTCTAAAACAATGTCAGTTTGTTTCTATATGAACATTTGTATTCAGTTTGACTATTTTCCTTTTTGGTTTATCTATGCTTAATTTTATTACACTGTTTATTTCTTTATTTGGTTAGATATATGAAACTGTATGCAGGGGAAGAATTAAGTTACCAAGCAAGCAATCTAACAAGCAACTAAAGACAAGGAAGCAAACACAGTCCCAATCAGGTCAAGAATGAAGCACAACAAACCACTGTACCAGAAAAGCTTTTAAACTAATTTACTTCTACATATGTGATAAATCTATAGTCATGTACTGATTCTGTAATTTATTGTAATATAGATTGTAATAAAACTATTTATTTGCACTATATACATTCTTCTATATTACTTTCAGACTCAAAACAATTTCAATAGAATCATTACCAAACTAACCAGAAAGTAACTTGGAAAACATGTATTCAATCAAACACACTAATGATGTTAATAAAAAAAAAAAAAACTAAATTTGAAATTAATCACATATAGATTGAGTGAAAGGATAGTCCTACATAAATTAGGTTCTAACCAAAATAATACATTTAACAGATTAGTTAGATAGTCCTATATTCTGCACTTTGAAAGTGAAAAGTGTATACAAATTTGATTTGACTTTGTCAATTCAAAAAGCAAATAGTCAATGATAGCACTAAATCAATTAAACCCAAATATATCAACTAAAATAAATCCAGATATAGCTTTGGTGAATTTCAATTATCATTAACTTTGGTTAAGTTAAATATAAATTAGACTTTAAGGTCAAAATTGTATCAAAATTATTCAAATGATCACAGTATAAGTACATATTACTATATAATAGAATATGTAGAGTAAATTGTTTTGAATAAAGTCTAATTTATTAAGGTTAACAGTAGACAAAAGGTTAACAGTAGAAAAAAATATTTACAAACTTAAAAATATAGTGTTGGAAGTAGCTGTGAACAATGTAATTAAACAATCATATGTACTTCAAAAATGAACTTTGACTTCGTCAATTCAAAAAGGATTATATTTTCGCTTTCTGAAAATCCTATATAATTGTGATTGTTGTAAATAAATACAAAACCTTATCATATGAGAATTCATTAGTAATATACGATTAAAAAGTAAAAAAATGTAGGAATGAAACTTTTATACATGTTTTACAAAATGTGATACATCTTTGAGCCTATAAAGTACCAGAAAAAGCTAACAACGCTTTTTAGCACATTACAAAATAAAACCGTAAAAATTATAATTGACCAAATATTTTTCATGTCAATTTGTCTAAAAAGTACACAATACAGTACTATTTCTGATCTCAACGGATCTAAGATTTAAACATTTAAAATCTACAATTTACAGAAGTAAAGTTTTATAAACTTGGAGAGTAAATACTCATCCCCTAATACATACTATATAATATACTAATTTGTAATCTGAAAATGTAGAATCTGTGATATATAAGAATCTGTCAGCACTGCCAAGTATTCAACTGCTGTGCCAAAAAAAATGTCAAAAAAAAAAAAATAGGACTACAAATAGTAAATGTAATTTAGTCATTTAACATATGCATCACAAACAAAGTTTAATCATTTGCCAAAGAATCAAGAACGAACAAAATGATTTTAACTGATTTTATTATAGCAACTTTAACAATATAAGTAACAAATGTGCCAACAAAGTATTCAAGTACTCAGTATGTAATCTATCATTATAAATGTAATGAATCTCAATATAAAATTGGAAACACAATGCTCTTTGACTTTAAAAACCACATAATTTGTAATTTGTAAATAAAAAAGTTAAAAATATACAGACAGATTCTAAAAATTTCATATAACTGCATCATAATTATAAGTTCATCATTTGCCCAATACTAAAAACAGTGTTAGTATATTTGTAAAAAGAATAAGTGCATGAGTGATAGGGGAAACATGTGTATTCAATGACAGCAATACACTATTGCATTTTGGTTTTTCCAAAAAAACTGAACAGTCATAATCATTTCAGTACATGTGTAAACATTAATGATTATCAGCCACTAAAGCATTCAAAATATAGCAAATATGCATGCTCAAACTACACTCACAAATCATTATTGAAAGATCCAAAACAACATCAGACATGAGGAAACTTAATTCATCTACACTAATAAGGAGCAAAAGGAAGCACATAATCAACAATCAAGGTATATTCTACACTATTAAAACTCTTAATTTAAGTTTACCAGTTTCTGCTTTTACTTCAATGACCACAGCCTATTATGCATCCTGATCTTCCCATCTTTCTCTTATGCAATCAATTATGAACACTGCTCCCCTAAAAGATGAGAGTATTTAAGTTAGTTGAAACCCTAAGAAATAATATGATGAAACTCTATGCTAATCTACGATTTTAGGTAAATATTTATTTCTATTCCACTTATCTGAGCGACGAATGGTCGAAAAATTCCTGGAATGTCTTTCTGCGGTGATGAACACTGTACGACATTTGTACACAGATCTGCAAATTTTTTTTTAAAAAAATGTTAATTACAAGCAAGTTCTGATAGTATACGATAGAACATAGGGATAAAATAAAATTTGTAGGGAACTTATCTCATAGCGACTGGATTAAAAGATTACAGTGCTTTGTATCTAGATCGTGACATCAACCCTAGAACCTTCAAAATACCATTGTAAGCGAAGATGGACTAATCAAAACCCAAATCTTCCGATTGATCTGAAGATCGCCTACTAAAAACGAAGCGAGAGGAAGAAAATCGAAGATCCGACACTCAAATCGAAGATCTCCGAGTAATCAACGACGATCTGGCAACACAATTTCAGATTGGAAGAGTGAAAACGAAATCGCCCACAAAATAGTAAAATCTTCGATTAACAAACGAAGATCGGGCACTCAAATCCACGATCTTCGAATGAGAACGAAGATCGGCTGATAAATATTGAAATGAAGATAGGGTTTTGAAAATCCGTCCTCATCGGATGTTAAAGGTCATGAAGATCTTTAGGACATAAAGATTATTTCCTGAAATTGTACAAAGCTCAAGAGCGAAGAAAGAAATAGGGATGTCCGCATTCGGATATGGATGAGAGGTAGCTGGGAGGAAGGAGGGTGTGAGGGGAGTGTTATGGGTAAGAAGTGGGCCGGGTATGGGTTATCAAACATGGGTGAATGGTTTGGGCTATGTATTAAAATCATTATATATTGGGTTTGATTAGGGGAATGTTTAATTATAGAGATTTGCAGATTTTAAACCCATATTTCAATAATAAGTTTGTACAAAAAAATAGGTGATTATGAATTCAGATTAATTTTTTAAAGTATTTTTGTATATAAGGTACATTAATTTTTTAATGGATGTACATTATTTGCATTTACAATTTTTTTTTTTATTTTAGTTTTGATTATGGTTCACGTTACTACGTGGGCCACGGTTAATGTATTGACGATGTTAATTCATGACTTATTTCATATAATACTTAGCTTCTAATAGTGTTTAAATTTCTTACCATTAAGAGCACTTATTTTTTGCTTGTAATTTACACGGTATATTTATTGGACCATCTCTACCAAAAAAAAAAATATTTATTGGACCATGGTTAATGTATTCTCAATTTTTATTAATGCATCTATTATTATACAACCCATCCTTCAATAATAACTAACGAAAATAAAAATAGGTGATTATGAATTCAGATTAATTGTTTTAAGTTTCTCCGTATATAAGGTACATTACTTTTTTAATGGATGTACATTATTTGCATTTGCCTTTTTATTTTTATTTTTTTTTATTTTTTTTTATTGTAGTTTTGATTATGGTTCACGTTATTGTGTGGACCACGGTCAATGTATTGACGATGCTAATTCATGACTTATTTCATATAATACTTAGCTTCTAATAGTTTTAATTAACTATTTTAATTCACTATAATACATAGGTTGTAATATTTTTCAAAAATGTTTCCATTTTGACTTTGTATTTTGCACTTTTAAAATTTGTTTTTAATTATGTATCACGGTACTGTGTGGACCATGGTTAATGTATTTATGTTTTTAAAAGTGCACTAATTCTTATAATATATAG